TTTATGACATTATTTTTAGACAAATTTAATTATAACTTTCTCCTTGTTAATAGAAGTGTTTTTTTGTTTCTTATATCCACAGGTGGGTTTAGCGGTAGTGAATGGTTTACTGTATGCAGTGGGTGGATTTGATGGAACTGCCTATTTAAAAACAATTGAAGTGTACGATTCGGAACAAAATCAATGGAAACTGTGTGGTTGTATGAATTACAGAAGACTCGGTGGAGGTGTGGGAGTAATGCGGGCCCCACAAACCGAGAACTATATTTGGTAGCTCAGGCCCCCCTCTTCAGCCCAAATGGCTGAAACTCCTTTAACTCCTCTTACACCGATAACTCCTGTTACTCCTGTAACTCCTCCCGCTCCTGTATCGGTTCCTGTTGTTATAACTAATACTAGAAAACGCTACCGCCGATCAATGAGCATTATATAAGTAACACGTACGTTTTATAAGACTTTGCCTTTCTAAAGATAAAGTCAGTTTTATGACAAATTATTCTACGTTCTTTCATTAGTTTTGTTTAGTTTACAATTCATTTAGAACCTCAATCATAAGTAGGCGCGAAACAATTACTTTGTACTGAATACGAATGTATATTTTTCTCTCTATGTAGAAAATTTATTCTTCGATAATGTTTATATTGTCGCGATTTTATCGTGTTTCTTACATAAGATTTTGTAAGATATTTCTCTTATGTTATTTATACATTCTGTTATGCATTACAAAATACCAATTCCAGTTGTTCTAGATTTAAGTACCATATACCTGTAATTCTCTTCTTTTCTTTCTTTTTTTTTTTTTTTTTTCCCCCCATGTAAAATAGGTCTGTATTCTGCGAACATTTCAGACACAAGGAAACGGAAAGGCAAAATCTCTTTGAAACATATTCTCGAACACAATATTCACTTCAATGGAATGCTTGTAGCTTCCATGTTTTCAGTGATTTAAGAAAACAAATTTTTAAAGTCTATATTGACCAGAACTTCGTTATGGAGGGTTGCTTGTGCACCCACTAATAAAAGAAAACAAAAATAAAGAGTTAATCAAACAAATTATTTCTGTCTCGATAGTATACTTTCTACATGTATCATATTTTTATCAATAAGACTGAACTGAAACCAAAAGTTTATGTAAAATTAATAAATGAAACAGATGTTTCAGGCTCTAAGCACATTTTTGTTTTAAGATAATATATGAAACACATAAGTTATAACATGATTTCATCATGTACTGAATATTACAATCATTAAAGATTACATTTCTCAATTCTTTTGTATCTCTATAGAAAGCAAAGCTTGATAAATTTATGTTCCGTTTGAAGCGATAAAGGAGTACTCTTATTGTACAAAATGGTAATAGGGATCATTATCCAACAATTTCATAATGTAACGTTTGTGATAATAATCTAATAAGAGTCAGTAAATTTGACTGATTGTGAGCAATATTTTACTAACATAACAAAATATCGTTTTGTAATTATTTAAGTAGAAAGTTATAAGGTGTGAAAATTTTTGTCCATTAATTACAAAATTAAAAGTTTATGAACTACTAATTCTGTTACATCTATGAGATTGTTGAACAAAATAAAACACATGTCTAGTGTAAGAATATACTGACGATATGATGTAACTATCTTTGAACAACTTGTTACAAAGTATCACTATTAGAAACTGTACATGTTCTCAATATTGTATCGTAATGACTTTTTTCCATGGAACAATCAGTTTAATTTAGTGAAACATGGAGATGTTTCTATTTCTTTAGGAAGACAACAAATTTATACAATCTACATAGTATAAATGAAATCATTACGTTGAGTTAGAACAATTCAATTACAGATTTGAAACGGTACAAATTATTGTAATCACTGAACAAAGTTCAAATAAGTGTTCATCATCAAATTTAATTTATAAGTAGTTAAAACTGTAGTTTCAATATAAAATGTTGCTAATGACAGTACCTTAATTTTAAATCAGATTTCTTTTGAACTTATTTGAAAAACATTTTTATAAAGAGGCATTTACATTTTATTCTACATTAATAAGTTTTATTATACTTTTAATTTATAACTAGCCGATATTTATTCAAGAAAAATAATGCAACTTTGTTATTCAAGTAAAATTATTTTCTCTCCAAAAATTAAAATTTTTATATTTTGAATACAGTGAAATAATTTTATTATATACATATACAGGAATTTTATTCTACTAATTAGGAAATATATCTGAAATGTTTTATTTTCTGCCTACTAATGTTTTCTATTATGTGGAGCAGATAATCAAAATAAAAAAGTTTCATACATGGTAGGGAGTAGTTTATGGAAAAAATTGAAAATTAGATCATTTCTTATAAAAAAATAATAAGTCAAAAATACAGACCAAATTTTATATTTCTATATAATTTGACATGTAACCTAAATTATAATCATAGAAAAAGATAAATTTTTAATATACTTAACAATTTGAAAAATTGAAATTTTTATCAAATCTTATCTAATAAAAAAATTTTATTTTATATTTTTAATTTGTTTTTATGTTATGTTGATCTCTTTTTCAATTATGCCAAAGATTACCTCCTATCTTGTACAATAAAATAACGAATTTTCTATCGCAATTTTTCTTGTGTGGAGATTTTCGTTTTTATTGCAATCCTTAATCATTATTAATTTCGGTTGTAAAATGCTTATTACTTAAATAGTAATAGAATTAAAAAATGAAATATTTATTATACATTCCATAAAAATTCTTGATCACATTTTTATATTATTTAATATAATTTGTAAATGTAGTATATAAATTATATAAAGTTATAGTTTATCTTTTGAGTTATTTATAGGAAACAATTATGAATGAAATCTATATGGATATATAGTAAACTAAATAAAAATCTTTAGCTATTATTTTTTACTATTTGTTTACATTATCCAATTTTGAAATCATAAATAAGATATTATTAATTATGTACAAGGAAAAATTTTTTCTTAGTGTTTAGTTATACTGGGAACAAATGTAAAGTGATTTATACAAAATATTATGAACTGCCTTTTTCTAAAACCATTGGAAATATCAATAATTATCCTCTTCGAAATACCTTTCGACATATGTACATGATTTCATGAATAATTTCAATACATAAAAATAATAAAAAAATTTCATTTCATTATTATAGTTCACTATAACTATTTGTCTGTTCATGAGAAGTGATTGAGATATTTTTTCTTAAGTGCTTTTGTTAGAAAGTAGAAATATTAGATTTCTAAAATTCTAATAATAATAAAATTACTTAAATTATTTTCATTTGTAGAAGAAATTAATAAAATTATTTACCTACAAGAAATATTTATAGAAATTTCATTTTATACATTAATCAATATTTTTATATATTGATTTTATCTTTGCAACTGTGATCATGTATCAGGAAATTTATACTATATGTATACCACTGTATAAATATATCACTATACAAAAGGACTCATTTATACCATGTATAAACACATTTATTGCATCTATTTCTAATTTTGAATGAAATAGCATATATAACTTTAAGTATAGTATTTCTTTAAAAATATTTTCTATGTCATACATTCAAAAATAGTCAAATTCTTTATTTCAATATTCATTTTAAGATGAATATTTATGATTTTGAATTATATTAATTTTATTACTTATTTAAAAAGATTTTGTATATCACTTTACTAATTCTTCTAATTACAAATGTTTATTGTCAAATTTTAATTTTCTTTTTCAAAAATAAATAAATATTTATGTGTTTAATTTAATTACATTTCTGAAATTTACAATTTTTGTAAAAAATAAGAAAATAATAATAAAAAATGAATCGGTATCTTTAATGGTTTCAGAGAAAATAATGTAAGTTTGTATGGATCATATTAGACATTGTTTATACGAAATACAAGAAATTAATTACCACATTTTATATCTTACCACATTCATATATCTTTGAAGTAAATATGAAAAAGTACAAAAGAGTTTATAAAATGTTCTTTTCAGATAACAAGAAAGAATTATAAAATATATGAACATTTTATGTAAGTAATATTATACAATTTAAAATTTTTTTTATTACTAACATACAATATCATACACTATTATTTGAAATAAGAAAGTTATATTATTGATCTTATAATTTACTTATATTATTGTTGTAACCAAACATATATATAGAAGTTTAATTAAGGTTTAATCTAAATATACTTTGATTTCTAATTTTTATGAACTTTATTTATGTAGTACTTGCTTTTGTATATATTAAAAAATCTATCCAAATGTTAATAAGAAAAATATATTGTTAAAATAAAAAAAATGAAATTCGTTACTATAATCAATCCTGCTATTAACCAAAGTACTTAATATTAAACAAGGACAGTACACTAAATTTAATAACATTTATACAAAAATAAACAATATATATATTTTATATAAATGTATATACATTAATTGTAATGTATATAATAGTGAATAACTGTTACTTAAAAATTGAATATGAAACTCTTTTAACTATTTTGTATAAATTATTTCTAAATTATGTAATATATATTAAAATATTAATACACGATATGTAAAATTAAAAATAAAATATAACTAATTTATCATTTATTTTTTATCTTGTTTAAACATTTCAAGGTTTTGTGACTTTTATATTCTATCGTAAATATTTTTATAATGTTTTCTATTCTCATTGGATATATTTAAATCCACCGCCTATATTAACGAATAGAATACAGCCACACAAACTAAATTCCTTCGTGAAAATCATATTTATTTATATATATGTTTTTAAAATAAAAAAACATAAACATTTTTATATATGTAATGACGAAAGGTAGCAATAAAATTTTTCAGAATAATGTCTGTTTGTTGTATTTATTATTGAATTCCTAGAATAATTACGATACGCGATAAACTCTCACAATCCTAAATGTAGTTAACATTCCCGGTTCTTTCATTTACAAACTTTTAGATACATTTGCAACAATATTTATAACGAAGCATTCAGATATGATTAGATGTAAACTAGAAGTATCATAAATGTATATAAATAATTCGAATCATTCCATGATACAGTTCTTTTAAATAATTATAATTCTGTGATCTTACCATGTATATTCTAACAAAAATATTTTTAACATATTTATTATTTTCGTATTGTGTAATTGGTGGTCCAGAAGAAGAGCAGGGTGTTAAATATGCAAATAAATGCGAAGGTAACTCTATATTCATAACTTTTTATAACTGTTCAAAGATCATATATCATTGTTTTGTTATAGTTTGCAAAGTTGTTGCCACCGAATTAGAAGCTAAACTAGATGAAACCGGTAAAACACATGATGTACTTGAAATTGGATATTGTGTTGATGATGTTCTACCCAAGAAAAAAAAAGAATATAAAAAATCGTAAATTCATATATTATTTTACAAAATGCAGTATTCAATGTGTATATAAATTATATTAATTTACTTCAATTTTATATTATTTAGAGAGTTACGATTAGTAGAAAGTATGGAGAATCTTTGTGAACGTATATTGGATTATAATATTCACAAAGAAAGAACAGACAGTACAAGATTTGCCAAAGGCATGAGTCAGACATTTAAAGCAATCCATGAACTCGTGTAAGATATAATTTAAAGATAGAAAATCTTAACTTATAGTGATATAAGAAATTATTACATTTGTACATTTATTTAGGGATAAAGGTGTTAAAGTTGAACTAGGAATCCCATATGAATTATGGGATAAACCATCTGTTGAAATTACTACTTTAAAATCACAATGTGAAGATTTGCTTGAAAATCATGAATCAGATATTGAAGAATGGTATCATAATTATCAAGGAGAAATTCCTTTAATTAGGTATTGATTATTATTATTGTTATTTTTGTTTTTACATTTTATGTCTTGAATCTAATTCAACTACGTAATTTTTATCCAATTAGATATTTATGTTCAGAAAGAGCATTGAAGGGAGACGATGATTCTTGTTTGAAGGAAAAAGGTGAAACTAGTAGTAAAAAAGAAGACAGAGAAGGAAAAAATGAGAAAAAAAAAAAGAAACAAGACTTAAAAGCTGAAAATAAAGAAAAATATGTAAAAGAAGAATTATAAACTATTAAAAATAAATTTACTAGTAAATTTATTATTATTATTATTATTATTATTATTATTATTATTATTGTTCACGAATAAAACATCCTTTAGTTAGTAATAGAAAAATGAATAATAAGTCATAGAAAAAGTGAAATTAATAATAACTAATATATATGTATAAAATTTACAAAAAACAAATGGAATAATCATTTATATCAAAAATTTTTTAAATCTTATCTATAAATAATACAAATACTGCCAATTGTTTGCCATATTTATTATTGTATTTTCTTTTTAATAAACGGTTTTATGTTAAGTAAAGATCTTGCATATTTATATTATGTATTTATATAATACCATTATAGTATTAAGTTGAAGGTAGCTACATACAAATAAAACATCTAAATATATTGTACTTTAATCATATTTTAAGAAATATGTCATTATACATCTTGTTGTTTTTTATCTTACTAAATTTGAAAGAATATAAAAGTATGCTACTGAAAGGTAAAAGAGCTCAGGATGGTCAGTTTCCTTGGCTGATACAATTTCAAACAATAGCACCATGTGGGGGAGTACTTCTTTCAGCAGACTGGGTTTTAACCGCAGCACAATGCGTGCAAGATAAGAGAAATGTATGATAATTTTTCTATCTAATAATAAGAAATGGATATTTATAGTCATATCTTAATTTTATTGATATAGTCCATTACTTTATTTGCAACTGGACTGAATGGAATTAACTCTAAACAAACAGTACCTGTAAAAGCTACTTACATATATCCTACTTATGAAGCTTATTCTGTTCTTCCTGATCGAGATCATAACATAGCTCTTTTAAAACTTACCAAACCATTTGATATGTGCCATAATAAAATAGTTCCACCCAAAGTTGTACCTGTCAAATATGATGATGATTATAAACTATGCTTAATATTTGGGTGGCAAAGTTATGTTTCACCATCTTTAAAAGTCTTGGCTAAACCAATTCAATATTATGAAGTAATTCTTAGCTCTTGGAAAATGTGCACATATATGACAAAAACAAATACAAATTATACAAATCTATTTTGTGCAATGGTTGAATTTAAAGATGAAATGAAAGCCTGTGCTGGTAATCCTGGTTCTCCAGTTGTATGTGAAAATCAAAATCATGAGACAGCTCTAGTTGGAATTGCATCATGGACAAATTTTTCTTTAGAGTGTGAAAACTTTTCAACATATATTGATCTCAGTGAATTCAGGTATATGTTTACAGATAAAATTAACTGTAGTTTTTAATCAATTTTAAGACCTAAAATATATTTTAAATTTTATAAGAAAGAACTAAAACAATTTTCTTATAAATTTAATTTAATATATATAGAATGAAAAATAGATAGAAAATGAAAGATAGATTTTAATTATAAATAAATTGTGATGAAATTTAAAAATTATATACAAAATGTAACATTTATACATTTAAAATATATTACGTAACTTTTATTATTAGGATATGGATAAATGACTTAATTTCTAATAAAAAAGATATAGGAGAATGGAAATCTAACAGGAGAATAAATGAAACACAGTGTACATTTAAAGAAGATTCTAATATATATGATAGATTATGGAATAATTCAGATCTACAATTAGGTTCACAGATAAGTTGTTGGCCAAAGGAAACAAAGGTGCAATTACATAACATATCTGAAACAGCAATGAAATATCAAGAAATATTTACAGAAAGTACGAACAAATCTTATTTTTGAAATAAATTATGTAAATTTATTTTTAATCATTCTAAGGATACAAATACATCTTCTGATGATGATTATTATAAACTGTCTTACGCAGATGTAGCAAATGAATCAAGTAACAATATTTATAAATATAAGGAAATTGGAAATTCCCAAAACAATAAACAAATTGTAGAAAATTTGAATAAAAAAAAGAAATTCATTACTATAAACAAATCACTGTTATGTAACAATCAACAGTTTGATAAAATTATGGTACAACACAACAAGGACCAAATAGAAATAGACGATTTTGAATTATTATTGCCATTTAATTTCGAAGATGTAACTGCCTCTTATTCTAGTATTGTTATTGTATATCCTAAGAGACTATATTTATTTTTTCAATTTGTATTTTGGAATTTTTATATTATTATTTATAGATGATAATATTCGATCTTTAAATACATATATGTATTACATAAAACACATTTTATATAAAATATACAGTTTGAGATATAATACATTGAGTTTAAGGTAATTAATTATTTTCTAAATTGTGGTGGAACCCATTTCACTTTACCACGAAGTTCTCTCTTACGATCATACTCGTCTTTAAAGTCTGCATGTTCATCTTTGAATAATCCATAATTTCTAAGGTGTTTCATCAATAGATCAGTTTCAGCGTGTCGTGGATAATAATCAACAATTTCTGGTCGTTTCTGTATCGGCTTCTCACTGAACAATTTAACAACTTTCATGGATTTCGAATTAGTTTTCCTTGTTACTTCACCGAATATTCTATTACTTAAACGTTGCATATGTTTGGCATAACTGGTATTTGCTTTTATAAGATTTGAATATTTATACATTTCGAAACAGAATTCGATTACTTCTTATTGGAGCGTGTTCTACACGAAGAGAGATAAATTGAGGTTATACAGGTTAGAATTTATGCTACTGTCTACTGAATGTAATTTCTAGTATCTTAACCCATAATAGATACTGCTTGAGCTAACAATAAGTACATATTGTTTGAATGTTTATATGAAGCTTTTAAATAATAAATTATTGATATTCACTTATTCTTATTAAAATTTAAAAAATTCAAATATATATAGAAATATTCTGACTGAATACATTACACTTAATACAATTATTAAATAGAAATAAACATAAATTTTTTAAAAAGATTAATTAAAAATAGAAATTATATTTAACAATAAATCTACAAACTCCTATATTTACTTTTCAATTACTTACAAAGCCCTCCCATTTTATTTCTTTAAGAGTATATAATTGAAAAAGTGTCTTTTTTGGGTTACAAAATATCATCAACATACTAAATATTTAAATATTTTTATTTACGGTTGGTCAATTAAAACTCTTAATTCATTGATAATATGATGTTTCGTTTGTTTGCTGTATATTTTTTTCTCGATCATATAATTTTTTTTGACTGGCTTCATGATAAATATTTAAAAAAATCATACAATAATAAGAATTTCTATATAGAAAGAAAAATATATATTACCGGATTATTAAATAATAATTTATTTTATTGTCATTTTTATTCTCTTATACTTATACATAATATGTTTTATCAGGTAATGTAAGATTTTTAGTACGATCGATAGATTTAAATTTCCCTCTCTATTAGTATGTGCATATGGCGCTTTGCAGTGTACAATCGTACAACAGTTTGAATTTTCACAATTAAAAAAACACTTTCAAATTACATTCAATTAATATTAAAATTTGTTATGTGCTTCATACTTAAGTTAGTATTAAACTATTTTAAATTTGAAAATAATTTTATATTACTTAATTCGAGAAAAGTATTGATGATATAACAAAATATACATGTACATATACATCTACATCTTGTATACACACATACATATATATGTTCATTGTTAATCATTAGTTTGACTATTTGTATCAATGATTATGCACAGTTAAATATAGCATATGTATCCCATTAAATGTTAAATATTATTACCTTATGCAGAACATCGAATTTTAAGGTATGTATTTTTAATACTATGTTTAAATTGCTTTATAAATAAAATAAGTGATAAATATATAAAAATAATGGTTACATTTTATAACATAATATATTAAATTTATAATAATAAAAATCACTTTATAATGTAATATAACTAACATTAAAATTCAAAACATAATGTTAATTAATGTGTACGACTTAAAAACCACCAAAATTATATTTAATACATAATATATCTTACGTGTAAAAGAGGATTATATCGTTCATTTTTGTTCGAAATATATTTATTGCTTTCATCCTATTGAATGAATTTTACTAATTTTTGTTTTGATTGTTAATCAATAAGTACATATATTCGGCAAATATAAATGCCTAGTGACTAGTATCAACTTTTTTTTTACCGTTTTATGTTTTTACCGAGAAAAAATAACTATCATTTAATAATATTCTATATACATCTATATGAAAATATTTATGAATTTTGTATTATTATTAAATTTATTTTGATGCTCTATTATTTTTTAATTATTTATGAAATAGTAAAAAAAATCATTACTTTTAATTGTCTTATTATAAAATTGAACAGATTTACGATTACATTTATTTTTATAATTTACAATATATTTTTATTAAAAAGTTTTATTAAATCTTAATGATATTTTGATAAATTTTAATAGATAAATTATTTTTTTTATATGCAATACATAACGAGACATTAAAATATTTAATAATTATAAAGTCGTTCAATTTTATATATAAAGATATATAACCTCAAATTTTACTGACTATTCTATATAATACATATTAGGTTTACTCGTTCAATTGTTTGATAATTATAATATTAAATTTTAAATATTAAATTATAACAAATTTTTGTTGGTATAATTAAATTAATAATCCCTTATTATTTATTCAAGCATAATACAGAAATAAACCATCTTCGTTGCTTGCAATGTTGAGCTATCTACAAAAATTTTATCTAACGAATCTTGACGATTAGCCAATAAATCGATCCCTGTAATCCACCAATGAAATTCTTGCTTTAGTATTAATCGGTTACGTATATAATGAAATTTAGTTAGAAGTCAACAAAAATTATTCAAACCTTAAATAACTTATTTGGAGTTTTTAATTATATTTTTTGCAATCAATTTTTTGTAAAATATTCCAAATAGACGAAAAAAAAATTGTATCACTTTTTACATTATTTCTCCTTTCTATTATCATTAATATATCATTTTGGAAAAACATCAGAGTCTCAAATTTATTCATTTATTCCTCTAGTAATTTTTTCATTTCCTTATTAATAAATTCTTTTTGTTCTTTGTTAGTAACTTTTTTAATTTTACTACTAGAAAATTTTTCATTTCGGAAAAACACCAAAGTTTCAAATTTATTCATTTATTCCACTAGTAATTTTTTCATTTCCTTATTAATAAATTCTTATATAACAAATCTTTTTCGATTCATAAGAATCTTATGTAACATTATTTTTTTATTTTTGTATCAATTAATAATTGACATTACATTATTATATTGCCAAATATTTTATAAACATTTTCTAATTAATCCCGTAATTTTGATAACGATATTCCTTTTCTCAAAATATTTACCATAAAACGAATGAAAAATAAAATTGTTATAATTTATTTTGAAAAATGTGACGTGAGTTTAGTCAATGTATATAAATTACTTTAGCAAGTATATATTAGTATTTTAATTATCTAATAAACTATATCTCTAAGAAACTAAATTATTAGTAAATGCTATTATGTATTTATACAAAAATTTCCTATAAGGAATAAATAATTGTTTCATTCCATTTCATTTTTATTTCTATGAAAAACTATGCATTTAAATTTACTAAATTTAATAGTAATATATTATTTTTAAACTAAATTCCATAGTAGTAAATTTAAATTTAGGAATTTAAACTATTGTAATGTTTTCGTATAAAATATAAATAAAAAATTCGCTAAAATAAAGAAAAAATAAAAATAAAATTAACTACCTATTTGTAATAACATACTATTTGTACAATAGTAGAAATTTAGTATGTATTTTTATTTAACGGTATTTTTCGAATATATTGCCTTCGTTCAAGGTGAAAAATCAAATTATAACAAATCAGGTAAACAGTATGATCAAAAATTTTAATTTAGTATACGAGTAGATTTTACTAATTTCAATAGAAAATATAAGAAGAAGCTTGCATTATGGAATAATTATTAATTGATAGATATCTTAACATTATGACTAATTACAAACGAAATAGGAATAATGTAACATTAATTTTTTTTACTTTATCTGACGTCATTCGAAGCTCGTCACATACTGCTATTCTTTATTGCTGAATCCTTTTTGTTTGTTACTATTACTAACTATACTATCACGAATAAAATTAAACAGTATTGGGAAAAATATTAATCAGTTTTAAAAAATTTTTTAAACTTGCAGTTTTAGTTTCCATGATTTAAAATGATCTGCAAATTTTTCATTATATTTGTATTTCTATAACAAAGTTTTTTATGATTTTACAAAAAATGGTTGTGATTGAAAGAATCAAATATCAATTTTTAAAAAAGAAAGTAATGTCTCAGAAATGTGAATTTTATTGTATAATAAAAGAAATTAATTTGCTGATTTATTATATCGATCTTTATTATTATTTATTAATTTATGGTTTTACCAAAAAAAAAGATTGTGAGTGGAAGAACCAAAAAATCAATTTTTAAAAAATATAGTAATATCTCAAAAATGTGAATTTTATTGCATTATAAAGAAAGTAGATTTGTTTATTTATTATATTGCTCTTTATAATTATTTATTAATTTGGTTATTTATTACAAAAAATTATTATTATTTTGGTATTTTAAATAAAATAATGTTTTTCTTTTTATATTATTGTAAATAATAATGATAACATGTGGAATCAATTTTTACTACTATCGAGACACTGTTTGAAAAATATTTAAAATATAGGAAGAAACATAACGACGAATCGTTATCATAAAACGCATCTACATCTCGATTAATTTTTCATCAAAATTTTGACAGAATTATACGAAAAAGTCACAACAAATTCACTACCAACAATGTCGGAATCGTAATGGAATACCAACGCGAAACTGCGTTTGTAACCAATGCAATCTATTTAAGCAACAGATTAGAGATTCATACGACACAGACACTTGGTTACGTTCGAAGCCAAGTATCACCGAAACCTATTGCTTCCTAATTAAATATCAACAAATATACTCTCTATAGGACACTATATACGAAATAAATTATTCTTCCCAAGATGCTGCATACCTTACTCAAGACTACAGATAAAAAGTTAGGTTAGGTTCGTTGCGAATCTCGAACGTAAACAGTAACGTAATCCCCCAAGGATTTAATCACTCTCTTAATAGCCTAACTTTTATCTAGCTTTCGACTCCGTTTTAAATCATCAGACAGCTTAAATACTATAACGATATCTCTCGCTATCGATATCATATCGCTACGAATATGACGATTGTTTCCAGACACAATAAACATAGGTTAATTTCTTTCCCGCAGAAAGTTTATTTCCATCGGTGCCTTAGGGGGCTTTGCAACAACTCGAGATCCATCCAGGCCGGGAGGAAGGTTAACACGGTCAGTTTATTCATTCCGGATTATACGCGAGTCGAACATTCGCCGTGGTATATTCTTATGACAACAATGATTGAAGATATCGGCACGTAAATTACCAGCAAATTAGATTGCCGAGTTTTGTTGAGGCTTCCGTAAGCGAATCGAGAAACCTGCCAAGAGTCAGCGCATCTCAGAACTTCTCCGACCTCCGGCAAGGTGAGTGCTACTCTCTAATATTCGACCACGACTATCGGACGGACTTCCTGTGACACGTGTCCGCCTCTGTTCACTGAGAATCTGCCTACTGGGTAAGTGCCAGAATATCAAGAATACCTCTTGAAAATATCATCGAGGAACTATATCGATTCGATTCTGCGAGACCGCGATTTCGAAATCGACCGAATCTAGACCCGTGATAATTAGCACTACGAAGAAACGCGAATACTCGTTCGGCCCGAGCTCGTACCAACACGCGCGTACGTACGTGTAGGTGTGCCGAGCTATTTCAAAATGGTGCCGGGAAACTTTTCGGCCGCGCGCCGTGGCGCTGATTTTTCATTAGTTTTCGACTCTATCTTGGTTTTAGCGTAGGCTGATCATGCGTGTCTTGCATTTTAAGACATTCTTACGGGACTGGAGTGAACGTCGAGGTAAATGGCTGTAGCTGGTCTCGTTGCACGTTTTGTACGGGGCTTCTCGCGGTTGATAATTTATGTCGAGATTAATATAAAGCATCGTACGTGAGATATATTTTAAATGCGATTGTAATTGCGCAATGGGGAATAGGTTGGATTGGAAGGAAGGCGATTCTTTGTCGACGTAAATTAAAATGGAAATTGCAAAATGTAAATATTTTGGGTAAAAATATAAATTCGAGGCACGAAGTTGCGTCAGGCTTCGTTCTGGGAAAAATCGGTTTTGAAATTCTGTTTCTTGTGCGAATTTCTGGTGGATATGCACGGTTGTGTGTATACGTGGAGTAATATTGGTTACTTATACGGTGTCCTGTAAATACGTATAATGCTGTCAAGAGAAAAGTGGTTCTTCGTGGAAAAGTAAACTGAAAATATAGAATAGTATTTACTGGACGAGGCTTCTTTGAACTGGTTTACGCGATGGTCTATCATTAGTTTTATATATGTAGGTTATCTACACCAAATAGAATAATTGGGAAATCAGAAAGATGTATGTAATTTATTTTCAACGATTATCAATTTTTAACATATGCATCATGATGTTTTGCATTTTATTTACTTATATATTAAAATTAAATTCTACGTTTCTGTTCTTTTTTTCAATAAATAAAAATAACTTTCTCAATATTTTGAGAAATTAAAATATTTTTTTCATATTTTTTATATAGAATATTTTAATGGGTATTATAGCTGTATCGTAAAAAGTCAAAGAGTTGCTATAGTTAGAGTGTAAGATTTGGGTCGCTCAAGGTCATGAAACTGCTTCCCTCACCACATACTGTCATTTCTTCTTTGTTTTCTTTTGCGTTTAAAAATTAGGTGAAGAAATGAAACAAAAATATTTTAACGATGAACTATATTTAAAAAGAGTAATGAAATTTACTATGATTATAAAAGACATAAATAGAAACATGAAAATGGTCTTGTCTACGTTTGCAGTATGTGTGTGACAAAAATCGATTCATACAAGAGAATCGTTAAAATGGATATCATTTTTGGTATGATTTTTTGGGAAATAACCGTGATACGTAAAAATCTTTATCTTCAATTATAATACCTTGTAACAGTCTAAATTAATATTAAACAATTAGTGATAATTTATTTGAAGATTAAAAGGAATTTTTTTCAAAAATGAAATTTGGGAAAAAAATTGGTGTATATTTTATTATAAGATATTTGTAGCATGGATATGTATGTATGCATAATTTACTAAATTGATAAATTGTACAATTCTTACCATTGTTACTATTTTATTATTTTCTCCATTTCTTTTTAATCCTTTTGAATTTTAATTTAAAATAGAAAGGGATATAAGTAAATGTAATTATTTTTAGTTATTTTTTCTGTTTAGGTATATTTACTACATATTTGCTGTATGTTTTATTTATTAAATTATGTTTAACCAAATTAATTATTAACTTACCAATATTACTTTATTTCCTAATTGATTAACTCGATCATTTCAAGTTAGAAACGAGTTACAATTAATAAAGACAGTTACGTAGGACATAACTTCATCTTAGAGATACAAAGCGTCAAGTACAGTCGGTCACAAAAATTTTTTTCCACGCGTATAATTTATTTTTCCATTCCGCTTTATCCGTCTCACTCCTTCATCACTGTCATCAATATTGTATTTTGTACCATTATACTGTGTATTAACTTTACTATAGCATAATATAATTTATTTTTATGTTTATTACATGTTTATTTCAAACACAAGGCATGGAGTTTAAATTATACGTATGATGGAATACTTTTGTGACTGACTGTAGTTGGTAGTTGATATAATTTTAGCAGATATTGAAATATTGGATTAATTCGCAAATTTTACTTAATGTAGTAAGTTGTTTTATTTTTAAAACTAAAAGGTGTGCCAAACTAAGATGGCTTGTGCATATCTATCAACTAAATCTTTATTGAAATTAGTATTCTTCCTATTTTATTCTGAATTAATAGTAGTTTGATTACATCTAGTATATAAACAAATTTTGTATATTTTGAGCAACTTTTTTTTTCCAAATGAATCTATTTATATTTCCATTTAGTTACAAAATTTTACTTAAAAATTATTTGAAAATATTTTGTTTTATTTTTTAATAATTTTTTGATGATGACTTTTTAATTGAATTTTACATTTCATACCTATTTAATTAAGTCAATTTATTATTTGATTAATTAAATTTAATGAAAATAAAAAATAAGTATAATAATAACCAAGTAATGATGATTAATATTGCACATGTTTATTACCTTTTATCAATTTTTTTTGACAGAATGCAGTTATTTTAAATATTTTTCTGGATTAGAAATTTTATTTTCTCAACTCTGAATATATACAATGCACTTAAATGTCTTGCAACTATTCTGATCCTGTTTTCAGGTATGTTCTATCTTGACATTGTGAAAGTAATTTCTTGGAAGATTTTATTGCAAATAACGTAGCGACTACAGTTCCTATGACCAAGAGAAACACGACTAAAAGTATCTGATATCTCTACAATTGATCTAGTAACATTTAGAAACAAACATCAAGTTGAAATTTAATAAAACATTTAAAAAATTAAAATAAAAATTTTGAATACGTGTTATTTTTTCTGTTTTTAACGTGTTTTTTAGAGAAAATATTTGAGTTTATTTATGTATTATAAATTAGAGTGTTATATGTGCACAAAATTTTGTAAATACCAAGAAACAATTATGTTTCGTTAAGAATAGTTATTATATGGTATTATGAATAATTATTAAGAAAAAAATAATAATTCAAGTTTTAAATATATTGATGTAATGGAAACTTTACGATTTTATTTATTAAACTAAAAATAATTTTCGGAATATTTTATAGTGTTATTTATGTTATTATAGTTGTTTATTATAGCAGGTATTATAACAAAAATTATGTAGTGTGTAACGTTTTCTTCATTACCATCAGTTTCTATGAAAGAGTTCATTTTTATATAGTTACTATATACTTACCTATTTTCAAAATAAAAAATAATTTCTTTCAACCGTTAATTATTTATTTACTCTTTAACAATTTATAATATTACTGATTTACCTATATTTAAAATTTTTGAAAGGTACTTAATCATACAATTACTTGATACTGAAATTTTCTTTTATTCTATTTAAAAAAAAAAGCAATACTGTTTATAAATAATTCAATACAGTAAACAATAATTATAACTGTTTGTAAGTAATATTTTTATAAGAGAAAAGGTGAAGAAGGGGAAAAGAACATATAAATGTGTATAATTTTTTGATTATAAAATAATATTATTAATTAAAAAATTAAATAATATAAATAATTTAATTTAATGAAATGAATAATTTAAACTTGGAAATAAATATACGAAGCATATTTGTTTGAAAACAAAAACTATAAATATTTTGTAAGGGGAAAGGTCATCGTTCATTGAGTTAGTTGGTTCGAAAAGCAATACCTGGTCACGTTGAAGAACGAAGCCATAAGAATCACTAGGTATTCAGCGTGGAATGTGCGCACGAATTCGATAATTACAATACATGACACAATAATGGTTGTCAATATGTAAGAAAAGTAACAAATCGACCTCTTTTGTAAGCAAGGCGCTTCATTTGTCATCAGTACCTCAAATGACTCCCTATTAACATCTTCATGTACATATATCCTATAGTATACACGTACTATTTTAGTAACGTCTAACAAACAATTTTTTCGAAAAGTATTCAAAATAGTGGCAAATTTATTTTTTATCTACTATTATTAATCATGTTTTTAATATTATTAATAATAATTATTCTTTCCACTCTTTTTAAATGGGACGTTCGTTTATTTGTATTGTATATCTAATATTTATATACTTAACCTAAAAAAGCAATTATGTAATTATTCGAGTCCTTAAGAATCATTTTTCTATTTAGAATTTTAAAGTATAGGAAATAAAAGGATGATAGAAAATCAAAATATGTTCTCTATTACAATAAAAATATTAATAATTTACTATTCTAACCTTTTATTATTGTTATACGAATAATTTAGGGTTCACTTTAGTCAACTTTGGCAATCGTATTATTAGTTTTTATGTTGTGTGTATTGTTATTCAGCTTAATATATCGTGTAAATGATTTCGCAAATCCGATTCATATTATAATCAGTCTTCTCGAAGTTTCCTATTTAAGTCACTGTAAATTTTCCAATTCAGTTTACATTAGGACATCGTAAAGGTAAATACATAATAGTTAATTGATATTAACTAATGACAAATATTAAACACGTAAAGTATAGATATAAAATCATTTTATTATATTCCTTCATACTATACTTTTATCAATTTGTGACTCATAACGAGAAACTGCCATTCGATATGTAGAAAACACATGTATGTACATTGCACGTATGAATATTCAAAACTTTTATTTAAAATAATGTACACTTTACCGATACAGTTTATAATACAAACTTCATCGTCTATTTACCTTTACACATTCGATAACAAATTAGTAAAGCAACGTCTATGTTGTTTAATTAGAAAATACGTT